TTCTTAGTTCAACCCTCAACCGTTTGGGAACATCCTGAGTGCTGTGATGTTAATTCTTAGTTAAACCCTCAACCGTTTGGGAACATCCCGAGTGCCGTGATGTTAATTTTTAGTTGAACCCTCAACCGTTTGGCCAGCTGCTCCTCATAGGTTAAACATTAACAAATCCTTTCTTATCAAACTTCATTAATTACTTAAATAAATCGGGAAACAGCTGCTTTCAATTTCTGGTTATTGAATGTAATAATCATGAAACTGATTATTTATGATTAAACACAATAATAATAACGAATTTACAACACTGTATTGACTCCTTACATCGAACTTGCACAAAGTAGGATATGAGAATAAATATCGCGAAAACTTAGGTAATAAGAATAGGCAGGAAACCTAATAAAATTAATGTTTATGTTAACGGTAATACAATCAAACAAGTATAAGAATTCAAATATCTAGCAAGCATATTTACGCAGGATGGCAGACTTGATAAAGAGATGGAAGCCAGAGTACAGAAGGCAAATGCTGTCACCTACCAGTTAGAACCCAAATGTCTCCCTTCCGGCAAATGGTTAATAGCATCTTCATCCCTACTTTATGCTATCAGTGGCAAACATAGACAATTAATAAGCACTAGAACAGAAAATAGCTACATGTGAAAAGAAAGCTGGAATAAGACCAAGTTTGAGTTATATTGGTAGACAAAGAATGAAATGGTTTGGCTATCTAGTGACAAAGCAGCCTGACTAAACTGCATATGAGACTTTTTACAGCAGAACAACTGGGAGGAAAACAAGAGGAAGACCAAGGAACAGCTGAATAAATGGTGCAATGTACCTGCAAAAAGATGAACAACCATCACCCAAGCCACCCGAAAAGCGAAAGACAAATGCAGAAAACCACAACACTGGGTTACAACCTGGTATCAGTGAGACAACAACACACAAAAATAATAATAAAGTTCTAGCGCTGCAGTGACTGGAATACTTGCCTGTCAGCTTGATGGTCATGAGGTCAAATCCTCATCATCGATTTGTTGCTTGATCTGGGTTCTCAGACCCAACACTCTAAAACTGGTACTGCGAAATTTGCTGCATACAGCCCTAATAAGTTACCTTTAATGACGTGCCTGTTGGGTGCGGGATTGGGGCAGTTGATCTACAACTCCCTTCCTCACCCCCCACCAAAGATGAGGCCCTGGAAGCCACAGGGGGATATGGAGTATTTTATAAATCTCCTTCTTCAGCAATCTCTGGTCATGCGCAATAATAATAATAAGTAAGAAGAAACTTCACAGGGGAGCATGTACAGCAGGGGTCTACCAATCATCAGTAGAAGTAATCTCTCGTCGACAAATGTTTCGGCCCACGAGCTCCTAGACATTTTCAGAGAGTGGACCGACCGAGTTCATGAGGCTCAGTGTTGTTTCCCCTGCTGCACGAATTACCGGATGTTGTTCGGACAGGGACAAGACGAATTGGTGATTTTGCAGAAGGGACTGTGAGATAAGAAGTCGTCGCGGTAGCATAATTAAAGCAGTCTGCATACCTGAACGACCGAGCGGCAAGCTTACGATTGGTATACCGGACACATGTTGGACTTTGTTAGCAGGTGGCAGAGGGACACTGGCAGACAAATCGGACACGATGGAATTTGAGGGATGAGAAATTATTTTCCGCTAGACACCCGGAGCAGCTTACCGAGGCCCGTCCCCTACGTTGTGTCCAGAGCCAGCTCGAGGCCATCTCCCAGCAACCTCGCGCAGCAGTTTAAGTGTCCGTTTGCGTTCATTACCGCGTAAGCCTAGTTCTTTAATCACATTGTAGAGTGAAGTTGCAACGAGACCTCTTGGGCCGACTTCGACGGCGAAGACCCTTACTGTGTACGCTTCGTCCCTCCTCAGACCGGCTGCTAAGTCACAGTACTTCTCGAGCTTGTACATATGGCTTTCGTCCATTCGCGACTCATCCGAGTCGGACAGCTCAATCAGGATGAGCTGCCGTTTCTCCGCAGAGTGGAGAACTGTATAATCCACATAATCCACGGGGCATAAACTGGGATGTGGTCTCAAAGTCTCTTAGGTTTCCCTAAAGCTTAGTTGTCAGGTTTACTGTGTGTTGCTTTATGTTGCTCCTCAGCTCTGCCAGGAGAGGGCAGTCTTGCAAGACATGATCTGGAGTCTGTTTAGCTCGAAGACACTGGCAGAGAGCTGTTTGGCTCATACCCAATTTATATGAGTGTTTATTGAGTCTGCAGTATCCAGTACGTAAGCGAAAAACTGTGACTTGGTCTGTTCTGTTCAGGTGTTTGAGTCTGCGGTGTCCAGTACGTAAGTGAAAAACTGTGACTTGGTCTGTTCTGTTCAGGTGTTTGACTCTGCAGTATCCAGTACGTAGGTCTGTTCTGTTCAGGTGTTTGAGTCTGCGGTGTCCAGTATGTAAGTGAAAAACTGTGACTTGGTCTGTTCTGTTCAGGTGTTTGAGTCTGCAGTGTCCAGTACGTAAGTGAAAAACTGTGACTTGGTCTGTTCTGTTCAGGTGTTTGAGTCTGCGGTGTCCAGTACGTAAGTGAAAAACTGTGACTTGGTCTGTTCTGTTCAGGTGTTTGAGTCTGCGGTGTCCAGTACGTAAGCGAAAAACTGTGACTGGTCTATTCTGTTCAGGTGTTTCAGAAAATCTTTTTCGTAGTTAGTATTTTACAAATGACCTGCTACAAGATGGTGGGGATCTGCCAGGGTGGGGCAGCTAGACTCTTGCCTGTGGATCGGATGGTGAATGGTTTGGGTCCTAATAAAGCCAGACATTTTTCGAGAATGATCATGGCTCCTAGGTCGACCCAGCCTTGCGAGGGTACCAGGTATAGTCCTGATATGTAAAGGTGGCCAGCATGAAGCAGACCTCATCACCCACCAACTGATCTATAAAATATAGGTCTAGCCCTATATGCCCAAATGCCTGAAAGTGTGAAACCAAAGGGTCTTCTACTTTACACGATGATGGGAAACATTTATAGAATTGTACCCACTGTGTCCTAGATGCCACTTCAAGTTGAATGAAGAATCGACATTACTGCACTCAGGAGGCTCGCATAAGCACTCTGTCCCTATCTTCAGCAGCAAACGACGAGTTCCAAATTCGATGGTACTAGTAACTGTCTGACTGTACATCCGTCTTGTATTTCCCCTGAGTGTTGAGTGTTGGCCGATTCCTTGGTAACTCCCCACAGCGCCATTCTCCTCTGATTGTAATGATCCATGTCCCTCTGCGTTATTCACTCCCTCCCAAAGGGCCCTCACAACATCTAGTCTGTCATACATCAATTCACCACTTCAAGTTGTCCATGCACCTGTGCTGAACCATACAACATGTACCAGGAGCAGGACTCATACTGGTCAAGGCTTGTCTGCATCTTCCCATGGTCATCCTCGAGACAAAGGTTCTCAAACTGAAAGCCAGGCAAACATAGACAGGATTGATGTTTCCTTCAAAACTGCAGCGCATCTGCACGAGAGAGAAGGAATGAATAGTCTGCACACAAATAAGCCAGATCTGTAAAACAGATATGCATGCATCTTTCAAGTCCCACAACAATTCCAAATTTTAGAAGTGGATGAATAACCAGAACTTTTCATAGAAGTTTACAGCTGGTGAACACAGAAGAAGAATAAGTTGTCAAGCATTATCCAGAAATCTTTCACTGACCCATTTAAGTGTTATTCTACTGGGGAACTGCAGAACATGGATTTCTGAAGCTATTACAAATGTGAGTCAATGATCATTTCACAATCATTTGGGAATTAAACTGGGAGCTTTGAAACTTAAATGTTAAGACAATTACTTAGAAGATCACATATAACAAAAACATTGCAAATATAGATAATCTATTCCAAGCGAACGAAAGAAGAAGAAGAGGACATATAATAGAAAGAAACAAACACACATATTCAAGATGTGCACTAAGAAAAATAAGGCAGCTCATAATAAGCAGTATCACAGATTTGGAAACTGAAACATTTTCACTACAGATAAAAGGTTAAAGGTAAGAAGATTAACTTCACTGCATTCGGTTCTATCCCTGCTGAGAGCATCACAGAAAACACAAACTCTGTAGCTCCTGCAATGATCCCTATGGAGCTCTGGAAAAATTGACTTGTGAACCGAATGCCACCACCATGAAATGACCATAAGAACACTCAGCTAATGGCTTTGGCAGCGGAAACCCCCGTATGACTACAGTAAGTTTAGCTGCAACTTGACAAGTAATGAAAAGTGTGGCTACTGCAAGCAGAGGCAGAGATGGTGAACGCAGGATATTAAAGATAACTTGAGCAAGAAAGTACTCGATGCAGGGGAACCGGCAAGGAACAGTCTCTGGAGCTGTCATGTTTGTTTGTTTGTTTTGGTATCCAGAAGCCATGAGTTGTTAACCCTTAGGCTCTGTATTATGGTTATCTGCTGCCTGTGATTGTGGAGCAGAAAGACAGACCCCTGAGCACATACTCCAGTACTGCCCTTACCTCTCACAGCAAAGACTGTGGATCTGGCCCAAGGGATCCACATTGCGAGAGAAGCTATGGGCGACCGGCGGCGACCTTAAATGCAAAATCCTATTTTTGACCCAGACGGGACTCAATGTGTAGCATGACTGATGTCGAACGCAGAAGAAGAAGAAGAAGAAGGTATTATGGATATCACAACCTTTCGGCCTTGATTCCATTGTAAATACCGTAAATCTGGGAGAAATGTGGCTTTTCTGCCTACCCCCGGGAGTGAACCCGGACCACAAGGAGTTCATCACCCGGTCACCCCGCAATCTGGTTTAGCAAACTACGCTAGAGAGCCGGGCCTGGAGCTGTCATGGGAGTGACCTTCTTCTTCTTCTCTTTAGAGTTTACCAGAAGCTTATTTGTATACACAACTAATTTGGTTCCTTTTTCAACCGAAAATATAACAGATTTTGATGTATCAAAAAATAATAATGCAGAATCTGGAAATTTTAAGAGATCATGGTGTATTGAAGATATTGATGTGAGACCTAGAAAATAGACAAAACCTTGGTGTATCAAAAATATTGCTGTAGAATAAGGAAAATGTGACAAGAAACAAATAAATATAATAAATCAATATATAAAACTATGGGGGTCACTGTGGCGTAGTAGACGCTAGACCGTGTGCCTCTGAAGGTTGCAGGTTCAAATGCACATAGAGCAGGATTTTTTTTTTCAGACACAAACTTTCTCCCAGATCAACACAGACTTAAATGTGTACCAAATTAAGTCCTGGGAAGTAAAGGTGGCCAGTGTGATGTTGGCCACATCATCTTTTGAGGGCTGATAGATCTATAACAATATGGGTCTAGCCTTGTATGCACCCCTGGCATATAATACAGTGTAATCAATGTATCATGAAACTGCATTACTGGCCTGGACAGCTATTCAAAATCACACTAAGAGATTATCAGCTCAGGTAATAACACACTGGCTTATGGTAATAAACATTATCAAAATGGACTCCCATCACTACATCCAAAACAAGTTCATAAGTGTTAAGATCCTCTCCTCAGCATGTTTACTAATGTGTGCCAGTTGACCAAACCAATTCAGAGTTTGTCTTCTTGGGTTTCTTTCAAAATCTCCAAATCCTTGTTTGACAGGAATGTCTCTTCACCATGTCATAGAAATCATTAGCAGTACCCAGATATTTAATGTCATCTTCTTCTTCTCCCTACCATTCACCAGCTGTAAACCTGAGTGGAAAGTTCTGGTTCTTCATCCACTTCTGGACTTTCATCCTGTCCTAGAACTTGAGTTTTGTGTGCGCATCTGTTTTACATATCTAATTTATTTGTATGCAGATTTTGTGGTTCCCTGCCAACTCTGCTAAAGGTAGAACTGAATAGACAAACATGCCAACTCTGCTAAAGGTAGAACTGAATAGACAAACATGCCAACTCTGCTAAAGGTAGAATTGAATAGACAAACATGCCAACTCTGCTAAAGGTAGAATTGAATAGACAAACATGCCAACTCTGCTAAAGGTAGAATTGAATAGACAAACATGCCAACTCTGCTAAAGGTAAAACTGAATAGACAAACATGCCAACTCTGCTAAAGGTAGAATTGAATAGACAAACATGCCAACTCTGCTAAAGGTAGAATTGAATAGACAAACATGCCAACTCTGCTAAAGGTAGAATTGAATAGACAAACATGCCAACTCTGCTAAAGGTAGAATTGAATAGACAAACATGCCAACTCTGCTAAAGGTAGAATTGAATAGACAAACATGCCAACTCTGCTAAAGGTAGAATTGAATAGACAAACATGCCAACTCTGCTAAAGGTAGAATTGAATAGACAAACATGCCAACTCTGCTAAAGGTAGAATTGAATAGACAAACATGCCAACTCTGCTAAAGGTAGAATTGAATAGACAAACATGCCAACTCTGCTAAAGGTAGAATTGAATAGACAAACATGCCAACTCTGCTAAAGGTAGAATTGAATAGACAGACATGCCAACTCTGCTAAAGGTAAAACTGAATAGACAGACATGCCAACTCTGCTAAAGTTAATTACAACAGAACATTAGTATGTGAATGTAAACAAACAATGAGTTGCATCCCTAATGGTCTCTGTAAACAAACAATGAGTTGCATCCCTAATGGTCGCTGTAAGCAAACAATAGACTGCATCACTTAGGGTCATTATTTACAGTTTTGCCCATTTCATTGATGAAAAATCACTAACAAACCTGTTTTGTTTAATACCAAGATTTTGCTCAATTAATTTGCTGAGTTTTGGAGCCAGTTTTTGATTCTTGTCTGGGCCAACCACCCCAATGCAGCTAAGGGAGATGTTGGCACACGGTTCTTCTGTACCACCGAAGCTCATCAGCTGATCTGGATTAACTTGAACTAAAACATACTGGGGGGAAAAAACACAATAAAATGAAACATCTTAGACAAAAACCAGCACAACAAAACAGAAGAAACAATGAAATAAAACATGGAAGAATTCAGTAAAAGTAAACTCTTTCAGGACATATTGCCATTTTAGTGGCTTCTGAATCCATCACGTTCAGGTGGATCGCTACTAAGTGATGCTGAGCACACTCTAATAATGTTTTGTTTGCTAGGAAAATGAATTTATGAACATGTTTTAAAAAACTAGAATTAGCAAAAGGAAGTATTATCATTTTCCTAGCCTGATGAGGTGATCTGTTTAATTTGCTATTTGTTATTAACTTTTTCAGTGTGATAAAAGTGAAACAATAAAAAAAAAGTTGAAGAGATCAGTGAAACAAGTCACGGACAACAACTGTGAAATAAAACATTAAAGAAATCAGTGATTTGAGACCCAGAAAGAAAAAAAAGTAAAATACAGCAATGAAGAAACCAGCAAAGGAAAACATTCAAAAAGAAATAGCAAACTGGAACAAATGACAAGAAAACAGTGAAACAAAGAAGAAATTTGAAGAAAAAAAATTATGGCAGAATAAAACTGTTCATCCCAGATGACAAAGTTGAAAATTTTCCACTCATTCAGGTGAAAACTTCTTTCAGAGGAGGTGTTCATTCACACTCCAATATCCCTACAGCACTGGACTTTTCCAAGAATTCCCATGATGTTTTCGATTCCCTGAGATGGGGTAAACTAAAAAAAAAAAAAAATAACCCTATTATGACCCTTTTTTTAGGAGGCAACCCCCTCTCCCCCCCCCCCCCCCTCCCTCCCCCCCCCCCCCCCCCTTCCCCCTATTTCCCCATCTGGTAATCAAGAACCCACAGGTGGATTTAGGAAAACACCAAGATCAAGATGAGGCAATCCTTGCAACAGCGACCCTCCTAGGGGGCGCAATCAATGTTTTTTTTTCTTTACAGTGACGATAAGGAAAACAATCCACTGTTTGTGTACATTCACATAATGACAATTTTCTTTCATATTTAATTTTGTTTGAGATTAGGGTTAGGGTAGGGGTTTGGGTTAGTGCTTGGGTTAACCCTAACTCTAACCATAACCCTATCTCAAACAATATTAACTTTCTGAGTGACAAGGAATGTATTGTGTTAATTGATTACCACCCAGGCGGCCAATCAGCACATGACGCGTTCAGGTCTTTTAAAATTACAACTGGCCAGCATAACAATGCAAACTGGCAATTTTAAATGATATTTCCTGTTTTTTGTGTTTGATGTTACATATGTTAAACATTCGAAAACATAGTTGAAAGCATAAAATGTAGCATGTTTGTGAGCTTTACAGAGTTCCTAAGTGTCTGTGTAAAAAACAATAATGGCTTTCGAGCAGACTTCTTCATGCATGACAACAAGATTAATGACTTTATCAGATTTATCCTAAGCTAGAAAAAGAAAGTTACAAAGTAGTCTTGTTTCAGTCATTAATAGAGTAAAACTGATGAGGGATGGCTCATATACTTACTGCGACAACAGTCAGCTGGTATAAAGAGAAAAAGTATTCATGAAAAAAACAATATTCGTCAGTGTCAGTTAGGTATACTGTCAGTCCTTTGTTATTTGAAAACATAGGCTATACAGTTACGGGCAAAAGGGTGTTATATAAAATTCACTTAAATACTAATTGTTTTTGGAGGTCATTTTTCTTTACCAAAAGATAGTTTTCTGTTATGATGTAATCTAGACATCCCCTTGTGGGATGCAGTTTTTCCTTATTGAAGCCCTACTGTGGGACCTCTCCATGGGTGATCCTCATCTGCATGGTGGCATTTTGTGTCCCCAGATGTTTATCGCTTGTGTTATGTCCTGGTGGGGTAAAATATGAGAGAAAGAGAGAGAGAGAGAGAAAGAGAGAGAGAGAGAGAGAGAGAGAGAGAGACAGTTGCATTACTATGGTCTGTTTTAGTGTGTAACAATTTTCAAAATCTAAATACACTTCTTGGGCCTCCGCTGTTAAATCCCCTTGGGCTTAAAGAGTTGAATATAAAAGAATTTTAGTATTATGTGAACTTATACAAACAATGGATTACGTCCCCTGAGGTACGCACTTAAAGTTATGTTAACTTACAATAGTTTGCCTTCCCTAGGCCTAGGGTCGCCTTTGCAAGGATTGCTGGCGCTGGTATAAAAATATAAACTATAATAATAATAATAATAATTATTATCATGTTATAATAAAATATTAATTACTGATTCTGGTTTCCCTAATTCTGATGCAATCAGCTTCGATGCTTCTTGGATGAAATTATCTGGAATCTGTTCACGCTTGAGGTTTGTAGCGATGCTAAAAGTCGGCATTTTTAAAGATCAAGAGAATAACACAAAATCTGTATCGGCGTCAACTCGTTGTCGGCTTCTGCAGCAGAACGCACACCAGGACCAGTGTTGCCACTTTTCTTTGACAAAAAACATCCAGAACGGAGTCAAAAAATATCTTAAAACATCTAAATTTTCGTGGGAAACATCTAGAAAAAACATCAAAATGGAAAGAGTCACAAATCACATAGCTATTGATATGACTTCTTCTTCTTCTTCTCTTCCTCCTTGTACCTCATCGAAGTGTCGGGGGGAGAATGTTCGTTGATGAGCTCTGTCAAGAGCACTATTAAGACTGATGTTCATTTCTGTAAGGCTGTTCTTAATGCCATCTTCCACTCGCTCTATACCCGTTGTAACGTTTTATTGTGGCTCGCTGTGGCAGATAGTACCAGGGCATTCTTGTTAGGTGTCCAAACCACTTCATTTGTTGTTCTTTGATGACCTGTAAGACTGGCTTTATTCCTAGCATTCGTCTGATTTCATGATTTCGTGTTCTGTCTTTCCTTAAAACTCCTGCAGCTCTTCTAAGGCATTTCATCTCTATTGTCACAATTTTATGTTCATTGGAGGATGTAAGTGTCCACGTTTGGCCCTGATAGCATAGTGTTGGCCAAAAAAATAGTTCTGATAAGATTCACTTTAGTACTCCGAGGTATCTGCTTGTGTGTCGACAGGGAAGATAGTTGACCCATTACTTGATTAGCTTTGGCACATCTCGAGCTAATTTCTCTGTCCGGTATTGATATGACTTATCCTACATAATCATGTCCTCATCTTCACTGATGTCTGCCTCACAAGATCCACCGGATAAACTTAGCTTGGATGATGAAGTTGAAGCTTCAGATCCAAAAATGACTCTGGTATGCTTTAGCTGTTCCAATTTCTTTTAATACACAATCAGGGAGCTGATAAGTTGAACAGCATTTTCATACTCTCATCAGGCCGAATTTTTTTGTCAAGATAGCATTTAAGAGGTCAAGTTTCATCCTATTTCTTAGGTTAGATTTGATATAATTCATAGCATTGAAAACTCTTTCTACGTCAGCATTTGAGTGGCGTAGTATCATGGCAGACATGGTACATTCAAAGAGTTTAGAGAATGGACTGTTTGATGAGACATCTTTAAATTGTCTCACTTCACTCCAAAACGCTTCAGTTTCTGTTTTTTTTTTTTTTTTTGTCCTTTCAACTAAGTTTATTTTGGTTAACTGATATTCTGCTTCCGCGACACTATTTTTAGTAGCCCCTTAAAATTTCATAACTTTACAATATTTAGGTGTGTCCTTTACTAGCTGAAGTATGTTGCTCACAGAAAAGAGTGAAATATTTTTCAATACATCTAGATTTTCAGGAAGTCTCTGCTTCAGTTGCTTGAATAATGAGATAAGGAAATCTTCACAGCGTTTTTTTTTAAATGATTTTCTTTATTCTTTGTTAACAGTCCTTTTGTTTTAAAATCATTAATTTTTGATTCGATTTGAAATCCATAGTGTGGCTTAGGAGCCAAATAGCTCTCTATAGTGCAAGTGAGCAAATCAGCTTTAGAAGTTGGCAACACCAGTTTTTTACCAACTGAGTGAAATAGCAAGTGAGATTGTCAAGTAATTTAACTTTATCAACATGTTTAGATTCAAACAGTTTATTTTTACACTTCCATTGGTTCACAATTCTTTCAACAGCTGGTTGAATTGATAACCATCTAGTTTTGCAATCTGACAGAATTGTCAGTGGTGTGGAACCATCATTCAAGACTCTATGTAATGTATTGTACTGCTGTTGTCTGACAAATGATTTGGAAAACCAGTTATGTGTTTCAGCAATAAGGTATTCCAAATTCCTTGGTAAACATTAAGATGAAACATGTGGTAATGCTAGCTGCAATGAGTGACACACACATTTTATAAGGATTAACGATGGGATAGCTTCCTTCAACTTGGCATAAACGCCATTGTTTATACCAACCATCACCGAGGCATTATCGGTACCAGTTGCAGCCAAATTCTTCAAGTCTAACTGTTTGCTGGTTAAAAGTTTCTTCAGTTCCTGAACTATACCTTCTGCATCACACTTTTCCAATTGAACTAGTCCAAGATATGTAGAAACTACTTTGTCTGTATTGCTGCTGTAATATATAGTACACACACCAAGCACTTTCAGTACAGAAATATCATTTGATTCGTGAAATAATAAACTATATTTATTTGTAGAAATATCACTGATCAAATCTTTTTCAAAGTGAGAAAATAAAGTATTTCTTATACTATGTGTACACTTGCTGCGATGCATTTTCACATCATCCGTAACTTTACTGTCAGAAATAGTATTTTTAAACAAATCAATCAAATTGTCACAGTCTGAAATTGCATAATGACAACTTAAAAATATTGCGACTGATCCTTCAACTTTTGATGATTCATTTATCAGTGTAGTTCTGAAAACAGATGTCAGCGGTGTAATATCTTTGAATGGAACTGCAGTTTTATGTTTTTTAGTCTTTGCATGACTCTTAGAATCTTGTATTTTTGCAATAATTTTACACTTGCAGTACTTACAGCGAGCCTTGTTCATACCCCCAGGAACGGCCATCACCCAGTCTTTAATTTTGTCATTATGCAGCCACTCTTTCCAAAATTGTTACTTGTACTAGGCCAAAACAAAAATATTGTAGTAAATATTTTACACAGTAATGATTAAACTGACACTGAAAGAAAAAAAATCTATAAAATATTTAACTCCAAATGAAAAACATATAGAAAAACATCTACTATCTAAACAACTGAAACACCATCTAAATGCAAGAAAAAACATCTAAATCTGGGTGTAAAACATCCAAAGTGGCAACACTGACCAGGACACCAGGTTTTTCTCTCTCGTGAAGCCAAATTTGAAAGAGACTAGGGGAGGGAGGGAGGGAGAGAGAGAGAGAGAGAGAGAGAGAGAGAGAGAGAGAGAGAGAGAGAGAGATTGGGTAGGGTGAGTCGGAGAAGACGAAGTGCACACCCATTTACACTAGACTATATGTTACTTCCTAACCGTTGTGGGATGCCACAATATAACTGCATATATTGAGAACACCAGTGCGTTTTTTGACAACATGATAGGGAATGAGCGATCTGACTGAGGAAAGAAGCATTAAGCCCTGAGACGGCGCTAATTCCAGAACTTGAGCCTCGAAAGTGGCGCAAATAAACAAGACCACAAATATAGCCAGACTGTTGACAGCTTCGGCTAGCTAGCAGCAGGTTGAACGTGGTGAGTTTTAAATTGTTTCTTAAAATGAATTGGGATGGGGGTGGTGATGTTTAATCTACATACGGTTGCCCTAAGGGGTTCTCTGGACGAAACATTGGTAGAGAGACAAAGAGGATACCACAGAAAAGAGGCAACATCATGTCTCACGAAACAATGGCCCCAGTTGTCCTAGAGATAGGACTGACGTCTTCCTACACCTGCCCGAGAGGCAGGGGACACAAATAAGCCAGCAAAAGGATGTACACGTAAAACTTAGGTCCTGGTACAAAACCAAAAGTCCAAATGGGCTTTCCTCGGGAATTCACAGCCGGTGAACAAGAAGAAGAAGAAAAAAGAAAACTTTGACTCTTAGCTCTACCTTGGGCTCATACAGAAGGTGCTTCTTGTCTGCAGCTACTCTGAGATATGACTATGCTTGCAGAACATTTAACCTGTCTGCAAAAGTAGGTAGTGCATGTGTGGCCAGTGTGGGAAAGCTCTGCCACGTAAAGAAATAAAGAGGACAAAAAACTTATAGTTGCTATTCAAAAATCAGTATTGTCCTTGATAGAAGCTGTTAAAATAAATTGATTAAATCAACGGAGAATAACTTATACAAAGGGTAACTGTCAGTTATTTCCCATGATTATTAAAAAATAAAATCGTATGTCTTATACTATCGGACTATAAAGGGGAAAAACTTAAGTTAAAAAAAAAATTACTTTGCCTGTGTTGCTGTTGCATACTTATATATCATTTCAGACATGTTAAATTTATATAAATATAAAACAGCCACCATCTTCGGTAGAAGCATAATTGTGAACACATATACAATACCAAAAATATTGTATCTTTGTGCAGTCCTAGATCCTCCTCGTTAGACTGTCACAGATATAAACAAGGAGATTAGGCGCTTTGTTTTTGGTATGACTTTGTATAGTATTAAACATTCAACTCTCTTTCAATTAAATCGATGCCGTCCTTTTCAGGATTCAATTTTTCGTTATTTGAAGCTCTACTCTGGCTCATGGCAGGGGCCGCAATATAGCCCGACCATAAATATGGTCTATTGGCTGAACGCGGTTTCTGGGACCTCTTCACGGTGATCCTCATCCACATGGTGGCACTTTGTGTCATCGGGTGTTTATCGCTTGTGTGATTTCCTGGTGGGGTAAAAATCTACTCTACTCTACTACTCTCTTTCAATTGTTGTTTGTGCTTCAAAAATTTTATAAAAGATTTTAACGCTACATTTTTAACCTCCATAACAAATTCATAGCGCCCAAGGCAAGGAAAGTCACACAGACTTATTTATAATATGACTCCAACACCTGAGGGAAAATCAAAATATTAAAGAAAACAATAGTACCAGATCCGTAGGCGGAATCTTCAAGAATCGGAGGAACATATTTATTTCGAATGTAATACAATATTGCTAATTAAGAACCTCCTACAAGACATTCTGGATACGCATACGAAACAAAGAGTAGATATTTACAGAGCCATCATGTTTAACACTTTCCATTACACCACAAGGGAAACACACACACAACTGCTAATTTTACTATCAGAATATAGAAATCTAATCTGGACAATAAGAAACCTCTCTGTCCACAAATACATAACTTTTAGCTCAGAAACAGTCAGGCTACTCTACCTACAAAAAGTTTCAAACTGTATTGTCCCTTAAACACAAATGCCAGCTCCCTTAATAAACATAAATATAGAATACAAACTGCACACTGAAA